GCAGTGTATTATTTGTTGAAACTGTACTTTCGATTTGATTTGAAACTGTCTCATTGCTATATGTTTATCAATTAAACTTTGAAAAGAAAAAAAAAAAAAAAGAAATGAGAAGACCTATTTATTATGAGAATACAACATTTTTTGCAAATGAGTTAATTACGTCTTTATGGTTCTACCAGACCTCCTCTTGGTGAGCGTTCTAGTTAGTTTGATTTGATTTTTTTTTCCTTGTTTTTAAGAGCCTCTAAAAACTACATTGGATTAGTATTTCTTAGGTCAGTTAAGTGTGAAGCATTGTTACAATGCCAAAGTTAAAGAGTAATGGTTTAAAAAAAATCAAAACAAAACAAAAACACTTTTAAAGTTTTCTTGTCAATTAAAGTACTTCAAATGTGCAGAGCCCTGTTGCCTAGCACTCGGTCATGCAGGCTACCTGGAGTTGCATCTCAGTTCTTTACTTTGTTGTTTGGATACAGGCAAGTAAACTCAATCTCTCATTAGTTTTAAATCAGTTCCATAACTAATCTCAACAAGCTCTTGAAAATTACTCAAGTGAAGAACAGAGAAGTGCACAATATTGAAAAGATGAAAAAGACTGAGGGAGAAAGACTGAAGTGGTAAATTTTAAATAAGTCTCCTCAAACTGATCTCAAGTGACTGCCAAAGCAAATTAAACACATTTTCTAAATAAAAGTAAGATTAAGAAAAGAATGAAGAACTGGAAAATGAGGAAATCAAGGATTAGACTGGACATTCATTTTCCCAAGCTATATGCTTGTGGTAGTTTTTCACAATGAATACTATATATGTGATTGTATAACATAACCATATTTCCTAAATAGCTTCTTATTCAAAAATAGAATTAAATGTATCATATTTTACAATGTTCCCTATAAAAATCATAACCTCTAAGTGCTTTATAACCTGAAGGATTTATTAACCATCCGTTTAACTTAAATGTGACCAAGCCAACTGTTACCCAAAAGGATTCACATGACCAGTCCCACTTCAGGCCACACTGTTGTTGAAACATAAATGATGCTCACTTAGATCCCTTCCTATATCAAAGCAGCCCCCACATTAGCCACTGCTCACTCAACCAATTTGTAGATATGTTTCATTTAGCCAGCATGTAGCTATTTTAAAATTTTAATTAGGAATGCGGCTAGATAGGGTGTGCACTTTTCAAGTGGCCCATATCTCCACTGTCCCTTATACCTGGCAGATTCACAATCCCTGACTTTCTAGACCCCAAAAGTCAACCGAGTTTGTGACATTCACAAAGATAACCAAGATTTCTGTGTAGCATGGAAAATCTGGCACTCTCTAAAAGTATTAATTTCAATGTCCCCATTAAGAAACACATTCAGACAGACAGTACCCTTGATCCCAATCCACAGGGCTGAAGATTTTGGCAGGACACCTAAGTCTCATGTTTCTCTGTTTTTCCACCCTGAAGATCAAGAAATGAACATCTTCCACTGTCTTCCTTTGTGCTCACTGACTATCTCTGTCCATAGCATTTCTAACACAACTTTTCAGTCTTCCCATTTATTATTACTCTTGATTTTCATTACAGCTTCACAATATAAAAGCAGTAGAAATCTTGAAAACATACAGATAGGCAAAAAGTTCATGAACAAAAACCAAACTTCACAGGAAGTAATTTTAAAAATCAACCACTGGGATCTCATTCTATTAAAAAAAATTTTGTACTTCAAAAGAAATCACTGTCAGAGTGAAAAGAAAATCCACAGATGGGAAAAATTTTTAGCCAACTGCACCTCAGACAAAGGACTTTTATATAGAACACATAAAGAACTGAAAAAAATAATTTCTCCACAAATTCAAAGACCCAGTCCAAAAGTAGCATCTGAGATGAATACATACCTCTCAGATAAAGAAATACAAATGTCAAATAAATGAAAAAAATATTCAGCAACACTGGTCATTTGAGAAATGTAAATTAAAACCACTAAGAGTCCATCTCACCCCAGAAAGAATGGCTATCATCAACAAGTCAACCAATAACAAATGGTGGTAGGGTTGTGGGGAAAAAAGAACGCTTCTCCACTGTTGGTGAGAGTGTAGAATGGTATAGTCACTGTGGAAATCCATATGGAAATTCCTCAAAAATTATGATTAGAGGGCCAGGGATGTAGCTCAGCAGTACAGTGCCTGCCTAGTAAGCGCAAGACCCAGAGTTCGATTCCCAGTACCAAAAAAGAAAATAGAAAAATAAGACCAAAAAAAAGTCCCTTTTGAAAAGAAAAAAAGCTAGGATTAGAGGCTTCATTCAGCACACTTTGGGGGGAAGAGGGGTCAAACCCTGGCTGCTGCACTCTGCCTAAGCAGGCGTTTTAGTCTGCTGAGCTATCTGGCTGGCCCTAATTTTCTCATCTTTGCCAGAGAAATCTTATCTCTTGTTTTTCTTTTTTATTTTAAAGAGAAAAAACAATAAAAACAATGATACATAATTTCAAAATGAGAATAGGGAATTAACAGTGGTTATTGCACATTTTTATCTTGTTTTTTAATATATTTTTATTTTTTAAAGAGTAAAAATGAAAATTAAAACAAAAAATTACAAGTGATACAGAATTTCACTTAAAGTAATATGAACTGGGGCTGGTGAGATGGCTCAGTGGTCTAAAGCACCTACTTAGAACAAGCTTAGCAAAGCACAGGGACCACGGTTCAATCCCC